CTTATACCTGATCCCTTCGACACCTCGTGGTTGCATAGGCTGGTGTGCTTCTTCCATGTGGGCTTTGTTGCTTCTGAGCTAGATGGCCGCTTGAAAAGAACATATTCTTACACAGGATAGGGCTTTAGAGTTTTAAAGTGTTCTCACATATCTCAGGGTAGGCAAATGGCCTAATGGAGTGCCCCATCCTCCAAAAAAAACCAATATGCCTATGTCCTAATTCTTGGAGCCTGTGGCCGTTACCTTACGTGGTAAATATTACCACAGCAAAAATGTGATTAAGAAATTTGAGAAGTGAGTGAGAAACACGCCAAGAAGTATCATTACAGTGGAAAGAGAGGTGAGAGTGATGGAGCCATAGGCCCAACTGGTGGGTAGCCACCAGAAGTTAAAGAAGTAACAGATTCCTCCTGGAGTCCCTGGAGGGAAAAGGTCTAGATGACTTTGGACATCTGGCCTCCAGACCTGTGCAGTCTTTTCTGTTGCTTTAAGCCAACACATTTATGGTTATTTGTTACCGTAGCCTCAGGATGAAAACAGCAGGTATTCCCCTGATGCTAATAGTTTTACTTATGGCTATTAGGTGGCAGGGAAGGATTTAAAGATTGAGACTTGTTGCTTCAACATAAAGCCCTATATCCTTTGTAATATTTTCTGCTGATTACTTATGCAAAAGCATAGTTAATTCCAAACGGTCCAATGAGCAAATCAGCCCGAGCAATTTTTGGTAAGGATTACAAATAGAAGACAATTTGCTGGATGATTCTCTATAATGTATTTATCTTGATGTTTATTGGCTTTGTGCATGCATCTTAAGACAAAGAAATCTAAGTAAAAAGATGTGGTCCCGTGTGTGATATGCTAAAGGTTTTGCTTTTACAGAGACTGATTTCCCTTTCACTTGCTAATTTCTTTAAAGCATTCATTTGATTAAGTTTGGTTAGGTTAACCAAATTCTGTTTTCTAAGGCTCAAAGTCTAACAACATGGTGTTAAGTGCCTAACCAACTGAAAAGGCAATTTATTCTTTACCTGGAATAAATGAATATTTTGCTCGAAATCCCAGTCCTTCTAGTTCTTCATCAGAACTAAACTTAATCCACATGAATCTCCCTGTTGATCTAATTAACGGAGGGTTTTTCACACCACAGTACCGATCTATAAGTGGAGAGAAACCAAATGGCCCGTCTCGAACTTCCAAGTGATCAAACCGACATTCAAACGATGGTTCTATGTAATAATGTTCATCGAAGGTCAATTCTATTCTTTGTCGTGGAGCAGCTAAAAAATAGTGCAAATCAGAAGAATACAAAAAATAATATAAATATACTGATACAGAGGAGACAAACAAGACAAAATAAAAAACCTTTGGTCTTTTACTACTACATGAGAATAATGGTAATTGTTATTATACAAAAGTCATAATGTTACATTTTACATTAATGGTAATACTACCCTTCATAAAACTATGGTAATCTTTCCTTTGTCGTTAGTTATACTCAACAAGGGATGCCACCTGAATCATATTCATGGCAATTCAGTATGTTTAAGAAATTCAAAATTCCTATAAACTTTCAGCTACTTCCTGGTTAGTCAGAGGAAAGGCAGACTTCAGTGAGATGGACGAAGTGGCTGCAGCAGAGGGCTCACCCATGACACTGTGAGAAAGGTGCTTCATTCTAACGTAGACAGGACTGCTAGGAGTTGAAATTATAAAAGGCACCTAGCCACAGAGTAAAATTCATATACTATTTACATTTTGCTTGCTCAAGAACTCTGGTGGAGTAGTAGTTACACATCTGGCTGCTAACCGCAAAGTCAGCAGTTCAAAACCACCAGCAGGTCCACAGGAGAAAGATGAGGCTTCTACTTCTATAAAAAGTTACAATCTCAGAAACTCATGCGGCAAGCTCTACCCTGTTCTACAGGGTGCCTATGAGTTGACATCGACTCAAAAGCAGAGAGTTTGGGGTTTTTGTTTGTTTGTTTGTTTTGCTTAACTAGAACATTTTATGTACATATTAAATTGAACAATGAAATAAAAATTCAAAAGTAAAAAATAGAAACTTGTTAAATACCTTCCAAAATGTAGATGCACTCCTTGTTTGGTGGATATGCGTCAGGATAATTTGGGGAAGCAAAATGACCCCCATTGCTAGTTCGAACCCAAATGCCACATTGTGTTGCAGGAACGTGTTTAATTCCAATATTTTGTCCATCTTAGAGAAAAACAGCATTAAAAGCATTATTGACAGCCAAAGAGAATACCATTCTATTTTGTCAACCACTATCCCAAACAATTTCCCTTTCTACATTGGAGGTATTTTTACAAGAACCTTTGACAAATTTAGCACAAATATTCAATAGAACAGAAGTGAGGGAAAGGATTGGTAGATCTTGCAACTACAGATAAATATGCCACACAAAAAACAATATAAAAGTATCATTTAATCATCTTTGTGACAACAAAAATGATAGTACATGCAGAAGTATCTCTGAAGTAAAAACTATGTAAGTTTTTCAAAAACATGGTTTAAAAAATCTGTTTAGAGTTTTATTTCTAATGCCCTCTTCCTGAGATTATTTCTTTGCTTTAACATACATCCTATATACTAATTATATAGAATTTGAAGTCAACTCAATGGCATCTATATGTATAAATAAATTATAAAGAAGTGGTGCTGTGGATAAGGTGTTGGGATGCTAACCACAAGGTTAGTGGCTCAGACACACCAGGTGCTTAACAGATGAGCTTGCTATGTAAATATTTACAGTCTTGGAAACCCTATAGCGGGTCTCTATGCGTCAAAATTGACTGGGAAGAAGTTTGGTTTTAGTTGGTGCATGTATGTGTGCATCTGTGTGTATAAAACACTCAGAAGGGTGGGACAGAGGGAAAGTGGAGGCACACTTGTATGTAGTTGTCAGTGGGAGGTAGGAGAGAGCTAAATTCTCATCTTCTGCTAAAAATCATTGTCAATGCATAAAACTGAAATAATCATAAAGTATCCATTTAGCATGAGACGTGAAGGAAAAGACTAAAAGACTCAACTAAAAGGGTATTTATCTCAATGGAGAAGGAAATGGATTAGGGTAGACTGAGGAACTGAGTTTTTTCAAATTAATTTTTTAGAGATTTTTTGTTCGCATATGTATGCATAATTTTGATGAAAATTAAAATAAGAAAAAAAGGTTACATAGAAAGTATCCTAAATGGTGACATAAAATTCTAGCAAGACTTTCTCTTGACAACTGACTGAACGACAGTTGAATAAAGCAGCTCCACTGACAGAAAGCCTTGGGCCACTGAACACACCAAAGAGATGACTTTTAAAAGTTGCATTTCCTTCCAACAAGCCACATCACTGTCCTCAACATGTCCTAAATAATCCGTGTAAGTACTTTACCTTGGGTCTTTTGGGCCACAGCAATCCCTTCCACAACAAGTACTGTTATTAGCAACACTAGAGAAAGAGAAAATAGAGTTAAAAAACTGTATGCTTTACTAAATCTTTAAGGAAAATCTGATGACAAAAAAGACGAACCCAAAATTTCTTAACAGTAGTCACTCTCATGCCTTTTTTTTAGCAAAATGATGGCTTTATTGACTATTTATTGTTTCAGCTCAGTTAGTTTATATTAAACACTTTCAAAATGAGAATACATGACTTTATTTTTACCGAGAACCACCAAGGAAGGGTATGGCGTCGTGGTCAATGAGAAAGCTGGAACCCTGCACACAGTCCCCATGGGCCTAGATTTCAGATGTTCACGTTGCACACGAGGCCTCATGATATACGGTTACCTCTATCGACAGTCATCTCTATAAGCAGTCACCTCTACATGTCACCGTGCAATATGGAGACACAATAGCTTTCCTTCTCCACCCACTGTTCCCTACCCACAAAACTACCCCTTCAATAGGACCCTTACAGCAACCTGCACCCTTTTCCGTCTATACACACCCAAAGCAGCTGCCTCAGAAAGCTTCCACCTGGGAGAGCCTCAAGGTCTGAAACAGCAAAAGAGCAGCCTGGACTCCGGGTTTTCACCTTGGCCCCACCTCTAATCACAACAGAATTACCCTCACATTCATATACTTCTGGAGGGGGGAGTCTTCTTGGGTGCATGCTTTGACACACAAATGGAGCTCATCAAATCATTTGAGCGAGGATTTTGCAGAAATACAAGTTATCACGTCGGAAAAGAAAACACGTTGTGTTTTAGAGGTGGCAGCAGGCGTCCCTCACTCCAGCTCCTTGTCTCCTTCCCCCACATCTTTCAGGCTAAGCTCTTCCAGAGCCCCTTTGCCCTTCGTCTCCTTTTTGATTAGCGCATCTGTTTCCAATCAGACACACCATTTCTAACTGCTGACCATCGTCTTCACTCCCTATGACCTTGAGCCAGGGCTTGAGCTTCTCTTTCAGCTTCTTCCCCTCACCTACAGGAAGAAGTGCAGGCACATGCGCGCACACTTGATCTTCCTGGTCTCCTTCAACAGCTTGATCACGGCCAGCGCCTGCTGCTTTGTACTCTTGTTGACTTTGAAGGAATAGTGGATGTCCTTCATGGCCCCCTGGATAAGGATGACAGGGCTCACACCTTTGTCGGCTATGATCATCGATCATCTCAAAGGCCTGAAACACCTGCTCCAGCTGTGTGTGCCTCTCTTTGTCAGGCACACCTCACCTTTCATAAAAATCTTACAGAGCTCTGTCTGGTGGTCGGTCCCAAAGGCACTGGTGGGATTTTCCTTCTTGGCCCCCTGATCTTTCGGGACATTTACAAACACCGAGTGGATCTGCAGAACTCCGTCCAGGTCTTTCTCCAAAGATCTTGTTTTTCTAGCATGCGATTTCTAAGCGTTTCTTCATGCACGCCACGGCCACCTTGGTCGGGAGGATCTGGTTGCTAGGGGTGAAGATGGGCACGGTGGCTGCTCACCGGCCTCGCGTCTGGCGAACCTGGGTGACACGCACTCTGGTCCGAGGCCACCAGGGCTGCTGTAACAACCCTGCGGTGGCCAATAACGACCTTGAAGTGCACGGCCCACCAAACTAGCCTGGTGCCAGCAGCAGCCACACTGCCCATTCTCATGATTTTGTAATGATAAATCTTATGACTTGCTTTCTGTCAGGTAGGACAACTTTATACAAAGGACATACTGATTGTGGGTATAGTAATTTATGCAAGTACTAATGATATATGACATTTCAAGCATCTTTCAATGTTTGATAAGATTTTTTAACTTTTTTCTTTTTGGGGCAACAAACTTTGTACAATATTTACTGAACTCCATCTTAAAAGAGGTTACATAGATTATGGTTAGTATTGTATTATGCAAATGAAAGTTCAACTAGAGTATCTGCCTTGTGAGAATGTTCATAAAGGCAGAAGGGCCAAAAAGTCTCCTAGAAATAATTTTAAAATGTAGTATTATGTTGTGCTCTGTTACAAAAACTAGTCATATTTATACACTGAAACTTTTCCCTCAAGCTGTTATTAATGAACATTTCAGAAATCCAATCAACATATTGAATTGTTTTGTATGTGCTTATTAGAGACCTTTAAACATTTTATGAAGAGTACACGGCAACTTTCAGTGTAACCACACTAGCTGTCTCCCCCAAAATTCCACAACAACCTAGAATAGCTACTAGATAGCAGGCACAGTCTAATTAATGTAAATTTTTTTTTAAATGTAAATTCTAAACAGTGACTTAACCAGAAGTATTATGAAATATAGTTCAATGGCTAAAGCACAGACTTTAGGAGGTGGCTGAATCTAAGGCTGAGTTTCAGTTCTGTGAAGTTTACATGGCCTACTTGGTTCTGTTTATTTGTAAATACAGAATGATGTACTAAGACCACTTACATCCTAAGATTACTATGAAGAGATGAGCACAATATTTTTATGTGCTAAGTCTTCTGGTAAACAATAGATTTTAGGGCAAACTACTACATTTAACATATCTACCACACAAGGTAACAAGGAGTTCAACGGGAAGTATACAGAAGGCACGATGAAAGCACAGAGAAGGAAACCATTCATTACGTAGGAAAGGAAGAGGAAAAGGATGGGGGCAGCTTTAGTACATTCTGGGTCAGCCTTATAGGACTTCTCCTGAAGGAGGAGGAAAGAATCAACTTAGACAAAAACAAGAAGGATAAGCACTAAACTTTGGTAGGTGGGGGCTGAGCGGCACAGTATTGTTTAGCATGCAGCAAGGAATGGTGGAATGTATTTATAAAAGGTAGGATAAGATCTGATGGTTAAAGGTGTAGAGCCCCATGTAAAAAGTATGGACTTTTGAGAAGTCAATGCAGGTTTTTTTTTTTTAAACTAAAGTGATATGTTATCAGAAGTCTGTGTTTCAGACTTCTCTAATTCTAATTCAGACTTCTGATTCTATAAGTTGCATGGTGTGATGGCTAGGTCCTATGAAAATTCCACGTGAAGGTAAGGGGTACTCTAATCGATCAAGTAACAGCCGGAGGATGCCTCCTTGGAGGTGTGGCCTTTTATACTGTAAGAGAGACACTGGGGGATGTCGCGCTCACTTCTCTGCCTTCCTGCTTGCTTGGGTTGTGCTTCTGGCTTCAGAGCCCACTGGTTGGCAGGCCATTCCTGGGAGGTGCCACGTTCCGTGGACCTCCGATCAACAGAACTGCACGCACTGGTCTGTAATCTCCCAGCTCCCCCTTATCTTCTTCCTTTAGCAGACCTCAGTTCCATGACTTTGAAGGGGGTTCTGGCTAGCATCAGACCCATGGACTTAAGCTGGACTGGGCTGGGGTGCTTTCTTGATATAAAGTTCTTTCATAAATACACACACGCGTGCACACATACATAAACACACACACACACACACACACACACACACACACACACACACACACGAGTGTCACTGGTTATTTTTCTCTAGAAAACTCAGCCTTACACATATGGTATCTAAACTATACAGTCACCCAATATAAGAAGATATAATTCTTGCAATTCAGTTGCTTACATTTTAAAATCTTTTTGATTTCCTCATTTTTACTTTCTTGTATCTGTGCTGACCTTTATCTTTCAACATCTGTCTTTTCTCAAAAGCTCTAATTTGCTCTGTATTTTGTTGCTGCTGTGGGTACTGAAGATCTCATGTTCTAGAGGAACAATTTATCTTCCAGACTCTTCACATCTTTACCCTGGCTCTCAGTTACTAGAATTGAGTATTGGAGCAATTTTTTAAACAAATGATTTATGATCATAAAGAAAACTCATGGTAATATTAGGTATTTCACAATTCAGCAGGTAATACATCCATTTGAATCAATTTATCTTATTAGAGGACACTACTTCCAAGGACTGTCATTCCCATGAACATTATTCATATGATACAAAACTAGTTAAGTTTTTATGTTCATTATATCTTTCCTCTTGAAATACATGCATAACTACTTGCGAGTTTTCACATTCATAATTCCTAGCACATAAGCAAGAAAGTACAAAGCCAGGCAAACTAGGCAAGTAAGAAATCTACAAACTGGAATCAAGAGAGCAGCAGTAAAATGATGCCAACAAGATGAACTATGCAGGGTCTATAATAACCAATTTGTGCATAATATCTGTTCATGAAACTGGCATAATACACAAGTGATGTGGATTTTGTTTAAAAAATAAAGCTCCTGGAAACACCGGGAATCCAGGACAGGTAAACCCCTCAAGACCAATAATGAAAGTAGAGCTACCAGGAGGGTAACAGAAGGTTACCAAACAGAAGGGGAACCAATCACAATGATCTACATATAATCCCCTCCCTGGAGATGGACAACAGAAAAGTGGGTGAAGAGAGAAATCGGACAGTGTAAGACATGAAAAAATAACAATTTATAAATTACCTAGGGTTCTGAGGGAGGGAGGGTGGGGGAGCTGATATCAAGGGCTCACGGTAGAAAGAAAATGTTTTGAGAATGCTGATGGCAACAAATGTACAAATGTGCTTGACACAATGTATGCATGGATTGTGATAAGAGTGATAAGAGCCCCCAATAAAATGATTTTAAAAAAATAAAAGTTCCAAGGCCAAAATATTCTTTTCTACTTAGAGGGTTGTGTTATAAGTACTTTGTTTTCCCCAATAATTAATAATTCACAAACAAATTAACTGTGCCATTGAATATAAAAATGACATACAAAGAACAGGGTAAATCTGCAGAGCAATTTAAATAGAAATTCCTAATGATACAATTTTGTGATGTTTATTCTGATTATTAATCATTCTTAATTCAGTATCATGATGAACATAACTTCCCCGAATTTAAAATTTTTTAAATTTCAACTCTATCAACAGGTTGCATTACAATCAGACTGAGTTATTAAAGCAAAACTCAATTTCTGCCCAACGATGGAATTATTTTATACATAGAACAGTCCTGTGCTTTGTTCTGTCCTTAGTACCAATCTATGTGCCACTGTTCCCTTTTACTAAAATAAGAATTTCCCAAATCCAAAGATACCATATACTTTAAATTCAAAATAAGGCACTAATTCTTGTTTTAAATATTAATTTTTCCAATATATTTTTATAGTGCGCTGGGTGCGGGTTACAGGGTAGATCAATTTTCCATTCAATAATTCAGTTTGTTTCCTCTCCTTCATTATAACCACCACAATGAAGCCTAACTTATCCCACTTCCTCCCAATGTTTCATGTTTCTATTCTTTCTTCTTTTCTAACCCTTCTAAACTTTGTCTTTTTCACCTCAAATGGTTAATTATTCTAAAGTGTGTATACCTCACTTGTTTTATGGTTCCCTATGTAGAACTGTCTATTGCA